CTCCTCGGAAGGAAGGTTGGGCAATCCTACTTCCGTAGTGATACTGCCTCAGAAACCCAAGGAGGGGTCGCTATGAGTCGGGGCTGACTCGACAACAAACAACAACAACAACGACAAAATTCTAAGAAGACATAGAATCCTAAGAAAAACATTGAAAACATATTATGGTAAAACTAGTAGGAGTGGGGAGTTGCTAGTGGTGGAACTTGGCAATGGGAAGGATGAAGTAGGGGGGCCTAAAAACAATAGACGTTGTCTTATTTAAAAAAAAAAAAAAACCAACCCAAACTCACTGCCCTCCAATCGATTCCACCTCATAGCAACCCCCTTAGGGTCTCCGAGGCGATAAATCTTTATGGAAGTAGATTGCCCCATCCTACTTCTGTGAGTGGCTGATGGGTTTGAACCACCAACCTTCTGGTTAGCAGTCAAAAGCCTTAGGCACCAGAGCTCCTTTCTGTCTTATAAAAGGGCAGGTTAACTCTAGGTTCCTAGATGATGCAGAATGATGTACATTGGACTAATAACCTAAATGTTTGTGGTTCAACAGCAAATAGCAATACTGCGCAAGAACGGCCTAGAGATTTGCTTCCAGTAATATTACAGCCAAGAAACCCCTATGAAGCAGTTCTATGCTGTAATACATGGGGCTGCCATGAGTCAGAATTCACTCAGTGGCACAATGGGTTTGCTTTTTGGTTTAACTATAGATAAGCAAAGGAGCTCTGGTGGCATAGTGCCTAAGGTATTTGACTGCTAACCAGAAGGTTGGCAGTTTAAACCCAGCAGCCACTCTGCGGAAGGAAGAATGGGCATTCTACTTCCTTAAAGATTTACTGCCTTGGAAACCCAAAGGGGGTCACTATGAGTTGGAATCTACTCAATGGCAGTGAGTTTGGTTTTGGTTTTTGGTATACATAAGCAAGGAGCTCTGGTGGCACAGTGCCTAAGGCATTTGCCTGCTAACCAGAAGGTTTGCAGTTCAAACCCACCTGCTCCACGGAAGGAAGATGGGGCAGTCTGCTTCCATAAAGATTTGTGCCTTAGAAAGGCAGTGGGAGTCAGTATGTGTTGGAATCCACTCGATGGCAGTGAGTTATACATAAACAAGTTTTGATAGTGACACTATGTCTACAAAGCATTTAATATATATATAATTTTTGCTTCTAAGTAATATTTTAAGAGGAAATTCCTCTCCTTGTGAGGAAAACATTTAATAAAAAAACAAAACTGTTACTGTTGAGTCATTGCTGACTTCTTTAGACTATAATCTTTCAACTGTAAAGTTTTACAGATTTTAAAATTGCCCTTCTCCATTAAAGAGTAGGCAGAGACTATTTCATCACTATCTTAGTTTGGAAGAGTGTCAAAATTATTTGTTCCTATTAACTGGGTACTGAAATATTAGCCATGTGTTTTTTCTTCTATTTTCTGTTATAACTATAATGGTAAATTATTATAAAGTAATTTAAATCTATGATTCTCAAAGAGTAAGGTAATGAACAAGGGGAGAGGGTGCTAGTGATGAGATGTCTGAGATTTTTGTGTTTATGAAAAAGGGAAAGAATGGGTCACTAAGATCATAGCTTTCAAAGGGTCTTAAAAATTATTGGAGGGGGAGAGAGTGGTCAAAGTTGAGAATCATAGGTTTAAAATCTTGAAAAAAGTAAACCAAGACCAGTAAGATCTGTTTATCCAGCTACTGGATAACAGCTAAATGTCATTTGAAGACATTTTACTGGTTCTTTAACACATTTTATTGAAGATAAATATTAATGCCTAGGGCAGGAGAAAGAGTGGAATTCCACAGCATAAAAGGACCACCAGCAGCAATGTGATATAATAACTTGTATTTTAAAAGTACTGAATGTTCTTATTTCTAGAGGTAGCCTGTTGAACCAAATCAATAATAAGAAAAGTTCTCAATGTTTAGTGAAGAAATTTCTTCCTTTTATCAGTTCAGTATAAGGACCATTGAATAAAATCAAAAGCTAAACCAAACCTATTAATGTAAGGCATTTAAAGATAGGCCATGTTTGTATCCTAAATAATATCCACAGTCTAAGGTTACTGTTCCCAAGTGCGTACCCATTTACTCAGTAATGTGTTCTCCTTTGTATTTTGTCTGTGTGTGCATTTGACTTTTTTTTTTTAAGTAATGTTATTTTACTCTTAATTCCATGTGTGTCAAATGTCACAACTTGCTTAACATTTACCAGTTGGTATCAAATATGAATGTTTATAGTATATAAAGCCAACAAAACTAAACCTATTGCTGTTCAGTTGATTCCAACTCATAGCAGCTGCATTTGTTACAGAGTAGAACTGCTCCATATGGTTTTCTTGCCTGTAATCTTCATGGAAGCAAATCACCAGGCATTTCTAATGCAGTGGAACCGGGTAACTGTGAACTGCCAGCCTTTATGCTAGTAGTCAAGTGCAAGCATTTGTGCCACTTGGAGACCTTTTATAGCAGAAACGGAGGTAGTGTATCACTTACAGGTGTTTTTGTTTTTAATATGTTGAAGTGATAATAGTTTAAAATATAAGCATAGGCTTTTGAGCAAGCTTCTGAGCAAAAGACAGTTTCTAACAGTGGGTCTTTTACCTTGTTTCTGGACTTAGTCAACTGAGTGCCATAATAAAAAAAAGACAACTGTTTGAATATTCTGGAATATTTAGAGAAGATGGCCTTCCAGATAGCTGCTTATTTTAAAAATCTTTTCTTTCCATTGATATTTTATTTTAGATATTAAGGCTAAAACACATCACAGTTGTAACAACAAAGAAAAATGTTGCAGCCTCAAGACGTGAAACATACACTGCAGATTTTATTAAAAAGCAGATTGAAGAGTTCAACATAGGAAAGAGACATTTAGCCAACATGATGGGAGAAGATCCAGAAAATTTTACCCAAGAGGACATTGATGTAAGTACAGTTCCCTTGCTAGAAGAGTAATTACTGTAGAGTTACAGATATTGAAAGCACTTTTCTTCAGCATGAGCCCTTATCTCCATGTAAATTTTAATCAAGCTGTCAGAATAAGGAAAGATGCCACTATACATTGCAGACTGCTACCATGGTTTGGAAGAGATGCTACTCTTATTGGAAGCATTATAAAATGTAGTGAATTGTAGAATTTTGATAGAAATAGATACTTTCCTTGATTCAAGGTCATAGGAACCACTATGCATGCTTATGTAATATTCAGAAACATTTCTCCTGCTCTGTAGTTTTGCACTCAGCTTTCATGCAAAATGATAAAACAGATGGTAATGAAAATGTAGTCACATTTATAGGATATCCCTTAAGTAAACCTAGGCTCAGTGTTTTAATCCACTTTAGTATATATTTGAATGTTCAAATTTGATTTTTTTTTACCAGATCTCCCAAGATAGCTAGTGAAGGAGTTTAACAGTAGGCATTGACATGTGTTCTAATTTTTGAAAAAGATAACATATAACATCTCATGTTGTTTATATTTAACTGAAGAATAATATCCATATAGATTTAATGTTTTCATATAATTTCAATAAACCATTTTTTGCATTTAACTTTTTTTAAGGTATCTCTTTATATACTTTTCCTAACTATTTATAAATATTACTAAAGTGTCTCTTCAAGAACTCAGATCAATGTTTTGGACTCTACCAAAATAAGTAGTATTTCTTACTGCCCTTTTAGGTGTTGGTCATTTGGGGCTATGGCCCTCATAGCTCTTGTCTTGTTTTTAAATCTTACAATAATACAGACATGATGTGGGATATTAAGGAAACTGTATTTTCATTATACTGTTTAATTTTATCATAGGTAGTATAAGTACCCATTTTAGAAGAGCAGGCTAAGAAAAGCTAAGCCTCATGCTTAATTATGTAAGTATGGAAAAAAGGAGAAATTCTAAGACTTTAAACTTTGTACCCAATGTTTTTTCATAATTTGCCTCATTTCATAGATAATAGGTATCTGGCAATATTCAGAATACATAATTTTTAGCTAGATACATAGTAACTAGTACCTGTGTACTCAAAACATTTGATTTTTTTTCAGATGACTTGAAGGAAAAGTTAATAAGGAAAATAAGACTTCTCCCTCCCCATTTTATAATGTGTCCTTTAAAAATATAGAAGGAATAAGGAGCATCTTGGCACAAATAGTCATATTATAGTTTTTTCTTTAAAAAAAGGGGGGGAGGATATAATATCTTTTCCCCTAAGACTTCTTTCCTGGTACGACAACTTTAACTGATTGCTTGGTTTTCCTTTTCTAGTAATAACTTTATTGAGATATAATATACATACTATACAGTTCAGTCATTTAAAGGTACACTTCCCTGGTTTTTAATCTACTCAAAGAATTGTACAGCCATCACCACAATCAAATTTAGAATATTTTCATCACTGCTAGAAGGAACCTTGTACCCTGTCTTAGTTTCCTAGTGCTTCTGTGGTACAAGTGCCATAAGTGGTGACTTGAAAAAGAAGAAATTTGTTTCTCACACTTTATAGGCTAAAGTCCAAATCAGGGTCTCAGCCATGTCTGTTCTTTCCCTGTCAATAGCTCCAGGCATTCCTTGGTGTTCCTTGGCTTGTAGACAATTCTCACATGGCTTCTGTATTCCACCATGTGTATTTTGTCTGTGTCTATTCTGTTTTATAACTCAGAAGTGATTAGGTGTAGGACCCACCCTATACTAGTATGACATCATTAACATGGAAAAAATAAAATAAAAATCTATTTCCAAACATCACATCCACATTTACAAAGGCCAGGATTCAACACATATATATTTTTTTAATATACCTTTTTTTTTTTTTTTAATTTTGATTTGGGTGAAGATTTACAGAGCAAATTCACTTTCCATACAGCAGTTCACATATACTTTGTCTCATGTCATTGACCACAGTTTACCACAATGCAACAGCTCCCCTCCCACTTCCTCCCCATAGTTACTTCTTCCCAGTGTCCATCCCTCCATACTCTCCTGCCACCTGAGCTGTCTCCCTGTGCATAAGCAGCCCTTACTTCTCCCATGATTGTTCTCTCCAGGGCATCAACACTATTTTTTGGGACACAATTCAGTCCCAACATACACATTAATGGTTACTTCCCAGTCCCCTGCTTCCCTCCTACATCCTGCCCCTGGCCTCAAACAAACAAACAAACAAACAAAAAAACTCATTGCCATCCAATCATTTCCTACTTGTACACCCTCATTGGGTTTCTAAGACTATAAATCTTTATGGAAGCAGACTGTCTCATCTTTCTTCTGTGGAGCGGCTGGTGGGTTTGAACCACCAGCCTTTTGGTTAGTAGCCAAATGCCTTAACCACTGTACCACCAGAGCTCCTTCCCCCCCACCTAAGCAACCACTTATCTAATTTTAGTCTCTATAGATTGCCTATTCTGGACATTTCTATAGTGGAATCATATAATATGTGCTCTTTTGTGACTGGTTTATTTAACCTGTCATATTGTAGCATATATCAGTACTTTATTCCATTTTATCGATGAATAATATTTCATTTTATCTACATAACCCGTTTTCTTGATCCGTTCATCAATTTAGGATGTTCAGTTGTTTCAGCCTTTTAGCTATTGTGAATAACGCTGCTATGAACATTTGTGTACAAGTTTTTATGTGGACATGTATTTTCATGTCTCTTAGTGATGGTATTGCTGGGTCACAGGGTAACCCTATGTTTAACTTTTTGAGGAGCTGCCAAACTGTTTTCCAAGTGGTTGTATGTTTTTACATTCCCATCAGCATTGTATGAGGTTTTTCACTTCCTCTACATCCTTACCAATATTTGTTATCTCTCCTTTCTGATTCTGTCCTTCCTAGTGAGTGCTGGGTAGTATCTCACTGTGGTTTTAATTTGCATTTCCCTGACGACTATTGATGCTGAGCATATTTTCATGTACTTATTATTTGTATACCTTCTCTGGAGACCTATCTGTTCAGATCCTTTGCCCCCCCTTTTTTTTAAATTAATAGTTTTTATTTTTGAGACTAGTGCAAAAAGAGTGTGGTGATGCCATTGTCTGATCATCTGTAACTTCATGAGGGGAGAGAGATTCATCATCAGCATCAGCAGCCCAAAGCTGATCCTATGAAGCAGAGGTCAGACATGCTGCTACCCTCCAACCTTCTTATCAGTTCTGACACCAACCATCTCTCTTACAGGACTGTCTTCTCTGCTGGATTCTGTCATTCATTTCAGTGGCCACACAGAACTCAAGATAATACTCAAGATTATGAAGTTTATTAGGGAAGCAACAGGTTATAATTCAGGATCAGAAACAACTCAGTATACAGCTTCTTCTCAGCCATGCTGCTGGTATGCTTCTCTCTGGCCTCAGCCTCTGCTTTGCTCAGGCAAGTTACAAAGCTCTTTTGGCTCTGCTGATAGGTGCCCAAAGAGGCGCCCCTCTCCACCAGCAAGGCTCCTGCCTAAAGACATTCAGCTTTTTCAAACTCTATAGGCCAGGAAACCTGCCACTCTGTCTCATGCCAGTCTCTTGGTTCTGTTGGTTTTACTGTCACCATTTCTCTGCTGCTGCTTCTCACTATCTCAGCAGAGTGTTACTACTATCTGTCTCCTGGATTGAGGAAGTTCAGCGTAGGGATCTTGAGTCCAAAGGACACGCTTTGCTCCTGGCACTTCTTAAGGAACAAGTGGTAGTGAGAGCCCCCTTTTCTGCTTCTAAGATGGCTCATTTTAAGCCTATGGGATGTCAAAACTGACCAATCCCCACGTTAAGGTTCCCTATACTTTATTTACATTATTAGCAAGCTTTCCAGTCCCCTTGGTGGATTTGCATAGTCACACCCCATCATCTGGTGGGAGCCACGAAGACCATGGCTAGAAGGGCCATACCAAATAATTTACTGTACCACAACTAGCTTTAGGTTTACGGAACTTTGAGAAGATGGTACAGTCAGCTCCAATATACCCCCTCTCCCCACACAGTTTCCCCTGTTATTCAAATCTTGTATTTGTTTGATATGTTGTTAAAATTGATAAACTAATGTTGATATAGTATTAGTAACTGAAGTCCATATTTTACATAGGGTTCTCTCCTTGCATTGAATAGCTCTATAGATTTGGCAAATGTATAATGTCCTATATCCTCCATTACAGTGTCATACAGAATAGTTTCATTGCCCTTAAAATCCCCTGTGTTTCACCTATTTATCCCTCTTCTCCTTGTCCCCCTGAAACCTGGACAACCACTAATCTTCTTACTGTCACTATAGTTTTGCCTTTTTCAGAATGTTATATAGGTCTAGACTCATACAGTATGTAGCCTTTCCAGGCTAACTTCTTTCACTTAGCAGTATGTATTTAAGGTTCCTCTATGTCTTTTCATGGTTTGATATCTCTTTTTTATTTCTTTCCTGCTGAATAATATTCCATTGTATAGATGCACCACAGTTTATCTGTCCATTCACCTCTTGAGGGACATCTTGGCTGCTTCTAGTTTTTGGCATTATGAATAAACCTGCCATAAACATCTGTGTGCAGGTTTTTGTGTGGAGATAAGATTCCAACTCATTTGGTAAATCCCTAGAAGCATGATTGCTGGGCTGTATGGTAAGACAATGTTTAGCTTTGTAACAAAAATTCAGTCTCTCATCGAGAGACTGTTGATTTTTCATAGATGCTCTTTATCAGGTTGAGGAAATTCCTTTCTATTCCTAGTTTGTTGGATGTTTTTATCATGAGGGGAGTGCTGGATTTTTTTTAACTACCCTTTCTGGATCCACTGAGATGACTGTGTAGTTTTTGTCCTTTATTCTAGTGATAGAGTATAGTACATTTATTGAATCACACATGTTAAATCAACCTTGTGTTCCTAGGACATACAATCCTTTTTATATGTTTCTAGATTCAGTCTGCTAATATTTTGTTGAGGATTTTTGCATT